CCAGGCCCTGCGCCACACCGTCTAATGCCATGAGTTCACTGAGAGCATTCCCTTCATGGAGCTGGGTTGGGGGTTCACGAGATGTACAGGCCTCGTGTCAAGTGATCTAAGCAACGAGCTGGGAAGAAACTAAGGCTCAGAGAGACCGTGTGACCTGCCCAAGATTACAGACCCAGAGCCAGACCCCACGGGAACGCAGGTCTCCTGGCACCAGATCGTGGGACACGTCATCTGGCTGGAAACGCCTCCTCAGTAGGGCAGAGGAGGGGAAACCAGAACTTGGCAATTTTGACTTAAGTGCATTAAAAGAGATCAAAGAGGATTCCTAAAACAGAGGGCAAACAAATCAAAGTCCCTCTGGGTTTTATGTGTCTTGAGTCTTGGTCATGAGTGAAGGGTGGCTTCCTGGTTTTCTGGATAACCAGGAAAGGCTGTGCACATAGGGGTGCCGTTGGCTGCAAGTAACAGAGCCTTGGCTTAAAGTGCATAACAATGAGGAAATAAAAGTACCAGCTCACGGAACTGGAAGGTCAGAGGTGGGTGGACATCAGGCCTGGTTAATCCAAGGAGTCACAGATGTCACTAGCGCCCCCAGTTCTCAGTCGCTCTCTGCCCTGCCGTCAACAGCGTTGTTGGCTTAAGCCTTACTCCCTTCAGGGTCTCAAGGTGGCTGCCACCAATAATGGGGCTTCCACGTTCCATCACAAGAGAGAGTGGCTCCCTGCAGCCCTCTCTACTTTCCCCTGAACCTCCAGAACGAACTCCCACATGCATTCTGGAACCAGTCACTGCAAGAGCAATGGGATACCCTCAGACCAAGCTGATCCAGCCAGTGGCCACAGGTCTCCTGCTGGGAAGCACCTGTGTTCTCAGTGGGGTGAGGGGGACAGGGTGTTGTGGAGATCAGCCACAACACCCACCATGGGGGGCCAATTTGCCTGAATGTGGGGCACAAGCAGCACCCCCTCTCCAGTGTGGTTTAGGTCTGGACAGAAAACTGACATCATCCAGGGTCCAAAACATGGGTCAAAACATGAAGACAATTCCATGCGGTAGAAACTGCCTAAATGCCTGATTCAGACAGGCCTGGGACCCCCTCCTCATCTCCCCAATTCCTGAGCAAGCCCCTTCACTCCTCTGAGCCCCCTTCATTTCCTCAACTACAAACTCAGGACAAGCCTGTGGGGTAAACAGATCACTCTGAAATCACATGGGGCACACAAGGATGGCAAGGATACAGGGTTAGGGAAACAGGTACATTTCCTTCCATGGATGAAAGAGGCACGTGCATACAACAGGGTTTAGTGGCTGAGATGCTCGAGGGAGGGAAAGCTCTGCCTGTGGTCCCAGCAGAAAAGTGTGCCCCCAAAGTGCCTTACCCATCAGGGGGGCATCTGGAGTGACTGTTGCTTCCTGAAGAGACCCAGTCACTGCCACTGTCTACCTCTTCAGCATTTGCCACCTCCCCCGGTCCGTGAGCCCCTGGGTCTGGTCCATCACTGCCTGTCCAGGGCCAGACCCAGAGGAGGAGGTGCCTGCTGCATGAAGGAGGAGGAACGGATTTCGTAGATCCAGTCTAGCCTGGAAATGCCTATTCAACTCATCCTAAAGCTGAGTCCGGGGGCTGCAACAAGAAAACAGAGCCAGGAAGACTCCTTCCTGGGCCCATATCCAGCTCCTGAGAAAAGCCTAGATAGACAGAGACTTCCTGGCATCCTCCTCTCCCTGGGGCCCCTTTCTGTAGGGCCCAGGGCCTTCCACTCTCCTAACAGCCTCACCTGCACCGCTCTCCCAACACCCATGCGTCCTTGCAAAGTTCTCTGTGCCCCAAGGTGGCCTGCACCCACACCTAATGATCACAACCCTCACTCAGCTGACTGGAGCCAAGAGTTAGGGGGAAAAAAGGTGTTCTGACTAATTCACACCAAGGTGTGAATGACTAACAAAACCTAAACTCTCCCCAAGGTTTTCGAGATTTTTATAAGAGGTGGAGGAACTCAAGCAGGACTCCCACGGGCGAACATGACATTTAACTTGAGACCTGAAAGATGAGGAGTCAGCCATGAGAAGAGCAGGAGGTGGGTGTTTCAGGCAGAGGACACAGCCAGTGCAAATGCCCTGAGACAAGAAAGAAAATGGCCTGCTTAAGGAACAGGAGGTAGATCAGAGCCACTGGAGTGTAGTGAGCAAGTGTTTGTGAACCAAATGACCAAGTGGAACAGGAATTTGTACACCTCGGTCTTTTGCAATCTCTTAGCATTCACTATTTGCTCATGAAGCTCCTTCAGGAACAAAACTTCTAAATTATAAGAGTGCTGTTTATTAAATGCCTCCAGTAGACCAAATGCTATACTGGGTGCTTTCTATATTAGCATTACCACTAGTGACCCCAACAGCCCTGTAAGATAAGTCATTATTATTTCTCCCTTTACAAAGGGAGAAAGTGAAGCTCAGAAAGGTTTAGTAACTCATCCAAGGCTGCACGGCACAGGCAGAGTCAGAAGTAGGATTTGAACACAAGTCTGTCTGACATCCAAATCTGGGACCTACCTTGTGCTCTCAGCACAAAACGCGAGCAAGATGCAACAGTGTGGAAGTCTGTTTTCACTCAGGGAGGCCAGAAATCTCATACAATTCTAATTCTAATAATTATTGTTATTGCTTTCGCTCCTTGACCCTGCCCTCCCTGAGGGCAGGAATTTCTGATCCGGATCCTCTCTGCATCCCTAACACCTGGGCCCTATGACCTACACACAACTAGTGTTCAGTCTGGGACGTGGACAAAGGCCAGGCCTCAGTTTCTTCATCTATAAAATGGGGTGAGGGGATGTGGATCTTGTGTGAGGCCCCAGCACACATGGGTGCCCCCATACTTCCGCTGCCAGTTAACAGAGCATGGTTCCGAGGTGGCTCCTTCATCCACCATCTCACCTACTCACAGAAACCCCAAAACCTGTAGGCAGGATGGTATTATTCACTCCCATTTTACAGTCGGGGAAACTGAGACAGTGAGAAGACTCTCCTCAACATCACAGGTCCCTTCTAGAACATAGGCTGCCCAAGGGCAGGCTCTCTGTCCAGTCCCCAAGGCTCACACAGTGACTGGCACTTGCTGAATGAATGAAGGGGAATTAAAATCATCACTTCTCACCCTTATAGCTATGCACTTTCCCCTTGCTCTCACCTGCTAAGAGCTGGTGCATTGAGGAAAGAAAGGGGGTAGGGGGGAGGATGAAGAAGGAATTAATGTCTGCACGTGTCCACTCTGGGTCAGGCCTGGTGCTTTTTACTTTTAATCACAAAGCCCTGAGACCTGTCCATTATCGTCGATGTAGAGATGGGAAACCCGCGGCTTCCTCCAGAAAGCCAGACCAGAAGGACCTGCCAAGTTGCCCTGTCTTTCGGCCAGAGCCAGACCACTGGGGCACCTGCCAGCAACCCAGAGGCCTCTTTCACCCTCGGCGCTCAGCAGGCTGGGAGCGGAAAGAACACCCCGGCCACACGCTGATCCTTCCTCAACCTCACCAAGGCAGGCGACAAAGGGCCCCTCTCAGCTCCCTGGGCCCGGAGAAGCCCTGGCTTGGGGCAGAGCCCTCACCCAGCGCGCAGCCCTGGGCAGCCCTGCCCCCTCTCCCTCACACACACCCATCAGCAAGGCATGACTCAGCGGTTCCAGAGCCGGGAGCCAGGAGCAGGGAGCGGGGAGCTCCGCCACTCAGCATCCCTCCGCCCGGGGTACACAGGGGTACACACCCAGCCTCTGCTCTCCCGGGTCAGGACGGCAGGGAGCCCGCCAGGCGCCGGCCCAGCGCTCCCCGGCCTCCGCAGGGCTCCGGCTACGGGTCCGGCCTCCTTTCCGGCGGAGCCAGGCATCAGCGCAGCGGACACCACCCTGGAGCGGGGTCACCGCCGCCGAGCCCACACCGGTGACCTGACACAGGCACCCACGCGCACCAGCCCCGCAGCACGCAATGCCCAGGGCCCCTCCCACTGGGGCAAGCAGCAGGGGAGCTCTTGCTAAAAACCCACAAACACTTCTGCAACCAGTCCAGCAGCCCCTGGGAGGACGCAGACAGTCTCTAAACCCGGGGAGGTCTCCTGCCCAAGAGTCCCCACCGCCGCATGCTGACACCCCGCGGTTAGCTCTCCCCATCCTCGATGGAGACTTCGCTCCGCGGGCGCCTGGCTGCGGCTGGCTCGGGAGCGGTCCCCCCATTCCCCGGGCAAGGTGGGGCAGAGGGACCCTTGGAGGTTACTAGCCTATGAGAGAGGGGCGCTGACCCTCGATTGCACCAGCCGCGGGGTGGGGGCTGGGCTTGGGCTTCTAGGGCCAATTTAGTGGATTTCGAAACGCAGGGCCCATTTGGGGTGGTATATTCCACTTTTTTGGAAAATTCTGACAGTTTGGGGCCAGCTGCTCTTGTCTCAGTATGAGTCACCAGGAATAAAAGACCAACCCCAAACCGGTCGCTTCTCCCGCCCACTAAGGGACCCTGCCTCTGGAGGCACAGCGAGGGGCCGAAGACAGCTAGCCTCTCCGAGGAATCTGGCAATGAATGGATTTTTTTTCCCCCTGGGTCCCTCTTCGTCTCCGGGGAGTGGGCAGCCTAGAAAATTCTGCGGGCTTTGGGCAAGGCTGAATGGAAAACCCAGGATTCTAAGCCATTAAATTTCCCTGGGATTTCTTCACCGGCTTAGCCGCAGGGATGGCCTTTTTGAAAACCATGGCCAGGGCCCATTCAGGATGGCACCAGGCCTGGGGGCGGAAAGCTGCCTGCCGGAGGGCGGCGCGGAGGTGGGCGCTGCCCTCCCGGGCGGCTGGGCAGCGGAGGCCGGTGCACTCGGGCTCCCTCCCTCCCGGCCCCGGGGTGGGGTGGGGTGGGGTGGGGCGGGGGGACACGACACACAGCGCGCGGTCCAAACCTTCGGAGGGCATTCGGTGCGACGGCATCCCCACGCCGCGGCCGGCCGGAGGGGGCCTCAGACAACACGTACGTTACCTTCAGTCACATAGCTGTGGTCCCGCAGGAAGCTGTGGTTAATTTTCCGCGTGTCCGTGTCCTCGCCCATTGAAGGCCGTGCCTGGTGCCCTGGGCATGCCCCGCCGCCGCACACCGATGCAATCCGCAGAGGTTGCGCCGGGCGCGCGGGCCATGCCGCCG